ATATGTGTTTATACGTGAATACATGCATACAGGCAGACATGCACACACACACACACGCATACATAAATAAAGACATACATACACACACAAACACAAACACAAACAAACACACACACACACACACGCATGCACACACACAGAGACGCACAGATCAACGCTGGCTGTTCACCAAACCTTAAAGTCTGAATCTTTGATCCCTAATTATTACATCTCCTAAACCCTAAACCCTTATAAGATGCAAACCTGGCCACCGGAAAAACTTTCGCCCTCAACGATAAGCCTGAAATCCTAAACGTCAGGGTTCAGGGTTTAGGTTTCAGCGGCTTGGGTTTAGGTTTAGGGGTTCAGGGTTTAGGGTTTAGGGTTCAGGGTTCAGGGTTCAGGGTTTAGGGTTTAGGGGTTTAGGGTTCAGGGTTTAGGGTTAATGGCCGCTATGTCGAAGGAAATGCCGCCCTACAAGAAGGATTCCTTACCAGAGAAAGTGGACCTGCGGAAGTACATGAGTGAGGTGGAGGACCGCACTAAGGCCAAAACCCTTAAACCCTACACCCTAAACCCTAAAGCCCTAAACCCTGAACCCTAAAACCCTAAGACTTTGGGTTTAGGGTTTATAGGGTTTAAGACTTAGTGAGTAGAGTGCGTAGTTGACTTTCTATAGACCGAAGCACATGCGCCCTGGAAAGGACCAGGCCCAAAGCAACAGTTGTTGCGCGAACGCAATTGTCGGGGCGTATGAGTACATCCTTACAAGGCGCGAACCCTAAACCCTAAACCCTCCTGGAACCCTCAACTCCAAACCCTTAAGACACTAACACGTTAGTCTCGAAATCGTCAACACCTTGAATCCGAAGCCCTAAATCCAAGGATTTAGGGCTTATAGGGTTTAGGGTGCACGGATCCCTAAACCCTATAAGCCCCAAGCCCCCAGATGAGTCCTTGACGTAATTGCGCGCATCCCCGAAAGAAGCTCATATCCTGTAGGGTTTAGGTTTTAAGGTTTAGGGTTACATAATTTCTGTATCGCGAAAGCTAGTTCTCTAGAACGGAAGCTTGAGTTTATGTTTGCACTTCGTCTTTCGGCCGAAAAATCCGGAGGCGAGCCCGCTGATCGAAGTTTCAATGTTCTAAGAGGGAGCAGCCTAAGTGCTTGATTATTCGATCAAATTTTTGCCACAACCCGAAACCCTAAACGCCATTGATTGCATCAGCTTTTCGAAGTAATGCCGAATCTTTCGCGGAAGGTTCTTTTCGCGGAATTGCCTGCGGAAGATCCACGATAACCTTCAGTTGTGACTACAATCATTGTCTTTGCAAATGCCCCTTAATTGGGCATGCATATTGACATCTTTATCCTGATTGCACGGCTTAGGACTTCGGGTTTAAGTTTTAGGGACTAGGACCAGGATTACTCTAATCAGTATTATTCGGCGGCAAGCGGGCACATGGTGTTTTCGGGAGGAGGACATTTCGCTGAAGCACCGCGTAAGCGTGCTGGGCCAAACTGGACTAGTGGCCCGTGTCGTTCATAAACCAATGCAGGCTAGGACCACCTGTTGAACGATGTCCTTGGGCAGCACTTTTGTTCTTCATTCTCTTGATGCTTCTTGTCTTTTTGTCGTCAAGGTCACTGACTAGAGGGTCGAGTTCAGCATCACGTTTCATCAAATAAGGCGTACTATTTTGGGAGTAGCAGAGCTTTTCCAGTATGAAAAGATAGCATGTAAAGGGCAAGCTCGCAATGGTAAAGGAGTGCAGGGACACAGACTCTGCTACCTGCGCGTCCAGCTCCAGTTCTGCAAGACAGACTCTGCAGAGCCCTCCGGTGACGCGTCGGGCTAGAACGAGAGATTGCTCGATCTAGTTCTGTGCTAGACAGGTTGCTTTAAAGTGGATATGAAGCACGAAAGTATCCGCAAGCTGATGCAACAGGCCCGAAGATTTGAAAATGATTGCGCGGAAGGAAATGCCCTAAAACATACGAACATGGTCCGCGCAATGGGTCCGCTGAAACTCGCGCTAATGATTGCATCGTGGAAGCAACGTTTGGCACGGCGCAGGTTTGCTGAAGGGTGTGGCGGTAGGGCTGCTTAATTTTAATGAGAAGTGCTTTGAATTGAAGCCAGCACCTTGATGTTTTGGTCGATGAAACACTGTCCTTGGGAGCCTCAGAAATGGTCCCGGGAAGCTCGAAAACTGTCCTTGCCTTATGTTCGCCATTGTAGTAGCATAGCAAAGGAGGGGAGTAGCGCAGAGCCGCAGGGAGGAGGACGGGGGGAAAGCATAACAGTCAGCATGGGAGGGTGCGGGATTACAGGAAAGGAAGTATGTATTCCACATACAGCCTTACGGTGTCTGCTAGACCATGGGGCCATCTAGCTTTCGTCCGCTCTGCGTCTCAAGTTATTTATTTGTATATCCCATTTCAAGTCTCTTATCTTTCTCGAGTACTCAACTCTAAACCCTAAACCCTAAGCCCCAAACCCTAAACCCTAAATCCTACATCCCAAGGCCTAAACCCTAAACTCATAAATCGAAGTAGTCGGGGTTCACCCGACTGGTCCACAGGAGTGCCCAAGCGACCGGCACCGAGTTCACCGACATGTCCCGGTTGTTTGTCTACTACGTGGGACGAAAGATGGAGTGCAGGGTTTTAGGGTTTAGGGTTTGTAGTGTTTAGGGTTTAGGGGTGTAGGGGGTTAGGGTTTGAGGATTCCAGGGTCTTATAGGATCTTAGGGTTCAGGACTGTGGGTTTTAGGAGTTTTGAAAGGTTCCAGGCTTTGTGTCGGGCTTTCTGGATTCGGGACTTTTGGGGCTGTTGGCCATTGGCTTAAGGCTCATATAGGGCCTTGGGGTTCTGTTGCGTTTCGTTCCTCGAGTGTGCCATGTTACCTCCAGGACATGGAGATGGACCGCCGCATGTTCAGATACAAGAGACAAGAGGATGCGGCCAAGCAAGCTCCGAAAGATGAAGGCATGACGGTTCAAGCGGCCATCTGCGCCGTGCAAAGCAAGGGCGTCTGCTTGGCAGCCAGTTGGCCTTACGACCTCGAGAAGGTCAATGAGAAGCCAACAGAGGAATGCTTCAAAGAGGCTCTCAAGCACACGGTCCTGCAATGCCACAAAGTAAGGGTGGATGTTGACGACATGCGCAGATGCCTGGCGCAAGGCAATCCAATCATTTGCGGCCTCATGCTCACAGACCGCTTCTTCCGTCCAGGCCCGGGCGGCTTCATTCCAACACCAGGAGAAAACGACCCAAGAGCGGCGCAACATGGCATGCATGCTTTGCTGATCGTGGGGTACAATGATCGCCAGCAGGTCTTCATCGTCCGAAACAGCTGGGGGGCATGGTGGGGGGACAACGGGTATTGCTACTTGAACTATGACTATGCCGGCAGCCCGGTCTTCAATGCCTGCTTCCAGTATGCCATCACCGCTGTGAAGGGTGTAGACTTCACTCCAGACCCCGATGACGGCGTGGATGCGAACTTGGAGGACAACCCCAAGACCCTAGGCCCTTAAGGGTTTAGGGCTTAGGGTTAAAACCCTAAACCCTTAAACCCTTAAGCCCTAAACCCTGAAACGTGGAGGACAACGGCGAAGACCCGGAGATTGAAGAAGAGGAAGTGGACGAGGAGGAGGATGTGGAGGATGGCTGGGACTTCTCTGAGGACTTCAGGGGGCGACCCTAAACGTTAGGGTTTAGGGTTTTAGGGTTTAGGGTTTAGGGTTTAGGGTTTTAGGGTTTTAGGGTTTAGGGTTGAGGGCGCTTAAAAGGCTAAACGCCGTAAACAAGAGTAACACAATGCTTCCATACGATTTAGTACGACAAGGTCCCACATATAGACCTAGGCCCTAAACCTCAAACCCTAGATCCTAAAGGGTTTAAGGCTTAGTGGGCAAAATGCAAAACCTCAGAGAGCCGGGTCGAGACATAAGATTCAACATCTTCATGGGCAAGGCCAAAAATCTTCGTGGGCAAAGTTCAAAATGTAAGTAGGCAAGGCCCAAAACGTAAGACCCCAAACCCTAAACCCTGAACTTAACCCTACACCCTAAACCCCAAACCCTAAATCTGAGTGAGCAAGATCCCCAGCGGCTTGCGGTCAAGGGCGAAAATCGGGCGCCAGGCTCAAAAATTGGGTCGGAGTGCTTAAAATAGGCACAGTTATCATATCAAGATCAGGGTTGAGGGTTTCGGGTTTAGGGTTTAGGGTTCACGGGAAAGGGTTTATGTATTGGAGCGATTAAACCTACTGTAATGCAAGAAGGAGATGATAAGAAACGTCGACTGTATCGTGAAGATTTGACGGTTGAGTAATCTTGTAATTATTGAAAGAAGAACAAATGAAACACCTTCACTCTCTGACCCCCCCCCAACAGCACAGACTCAAAACCCGAAGCCCCCCCAACGTAAACTAAACCCTAAGCCTAAACCCTAAACCCGGTTAAGGTTGAAGTCGCGGAGCCCTCGACCCTGAAACCCAAGAGCCCTTAACCCTAGGGTTTAGGGTTTAGGGTAGACCCGAAGGAGTTCAAGGGCGACAAGCTGGTGAGGGAATTGTTCATCGGAAACGACGGTGTGCTCCCCCACACCAGCTTCGAAATGATGATGCTGAATTTCGCCAAACGTGAGGCAGGGAAGACCTTCAACTACTTTGAGTTCGCGCAATGGATGTATGAACCGGAGCAGTACGACAAGAATGATTGGACGCCGAAGGACTTCCAAGAGGTCGTCACGAAGTTTGTCAAGGAAGACTTCGCCACGGCGTTCCCCGGGTTGGCATTCTTGAAAGACGACCCCTTGTTCAACCAGGGGGGTGTTTTCAGTCCTTACGCAATGTGAAAAGAAGGTGCGCAGAAAGATCCTCGATACCTTCATTACAGAGTGCCTGAGGCGCCTCTGTTGTTATCCTCCTAGAGCCTATTTCGGCTTTAGGATCAGGGTCTTTTTGCTCCCGATGTATTCCAAAAATCCTGTTTCTCAGATCCTCGCCTTGTCAGCTGCCCGAAGGCATCCCTGACGCAGAGGCGGTTCCTTGTTCTTCTAAGCTTTTTGGTCAGAGGCCTGCCGCAACTTTGCTGGAGATGCATGTGCCGCAATAGGCAACATAGTTGCATATGTTTCTTCGACTACTTACGCCTTGGTGGTGTGCTTATCGTCAACCTTCACATCATATAATCCCTGAGCCTTCAGGCCTCAGCCAGAAATCCTGTCTTACTGTAAGGGCTTTACACCCTAAGCCACCCCGAACTAAACCCTAAACCCTAAACCACTGGCACTTGCATTCCGCTGTGACTGGCACCTCGACCACGTGGAACGGACAGGGCGCCATCATTGCTCGCCAGAGTGTAAATCCCAAGGTCTCAAGCCCAAGGGTTTAGGGTTTAATTTAGGACTTAGGGTTTAGGGGCTTAGGTTTCGGGTTGCGGGTTTCGAGTTCGAAGGTAAGGATTGGAGTTTTTCAGGGCTCCGGGGGGTATAGAGCACAGGGAGTCCGGGTTTTCGGGCTCGGGGTCAAGGGTTTAGTGTTCAAGTGCTTCGAGGTTTACTAAACCCTAAACCCTAAGCCAAAAAAACCCTAAACCCTAAACCCTTCTAATGCGGGCTCGTCCTTGCTAAGTGGGAGGGAAAAAAAACCCTAGAAGGAAAGAAAACCCTAAACCCTAAACCCTAGAGGGAAAGAAACCCCTAAACCCTAAGCCCCTAGAGGGAAAAAAAACCCTAACCCCTAAACCCTACACCCTAGAGGGAGAGAAACCCCTAAACCCTAAGCCCTAGAGGGAACAAAAACCCTCAAACCCCAAAGCCTTACAGGGAAAACCCTAAACCCTAAGCCCCTAAGCCCCTAGAGAGAAAAAGACCTAAACCCCTAAGCCCCTAGAGGGAAAAAACCCTTAGGCCCTAAGCCCCTAAGGATGAAGAGATCTCGGGACATCCAGCGACCCGGAACCTTTGCACCCTCTAAACCCCAGAAGCTCGCAGCCGATTTAGAGTTTAAGGATTTAGGATTTGGGATTTAGGGTTTAGGGTTTAGGGTTTAGGGCGTTTAGGGATTAAGGTTTACGGGGTTAGAGTTTAGGACGTAGGATTTGGGTTTAGGATTTAAGGATTTGGGGTTGTTGGGCTATAAGGTTTAAGGATTCAGGGTTGTTGGGTTTTGGGTTTAGGATTTGGGCTGATCCAGGCCAGTTCGTCGGCGGCTGAAGAGATCCGAATCGTTGCGATACTCGCCAGGATTTCGGGCGGTCCCGGCAGTTTGGGGTTTAGGCTTTTGGGCTTAGCCCCCTGGAAGCCTCAGAGGTTTAAGGTTTGGGGTTTAGGGTTTAGGTACGCGCTCGCTCTACATCTTCAACTTTGATCCCTAAGCTGCACAAGCTGAGGACGAAGCCCAGAAGCTTAGAGGTTCTGGGTTTAAGGTTTAAGGCTTTAGCGGTTTGGGGCTTCGGATTCAGGATTTGTGGTTAGGGCCTAGTGTTGAAGGCTAAACCCCAAACCCTAAATCCTAAACCCACGTCTAAACCCTTAGTGTTTAAGTGGAGGTTTAGTGGGGTTTAGATGTTTAGAGGATCTAGGGTGCATGGGTTTAGAACTGAGGCCCTACGTATCCTATACCCCAAACTTCAGGGTTTAGGGCTTATAGGGGTTTAGGATTTAGGAGACCCTAAACCCCAAACCCCAAAAACCTACACCGTGATCCAGGGTTTTTCAGGGTTTGACCACTGGCTCGGAGGCAAACCCCATGCGCTAAAAGATCGCGATGATTAAAGATGATCTTGGAACCAAGACCCCGTGTTTCTCGCTGAAGACTACGCGGACCCGTAAAAAGATCCTTCTATTCTGTGAAATCAATATGCCCGTAGTAGCTCATGCTGCAACGTAGCAGAACTGCACTGAGGAGGCCTTCAGTGCAGAAGCCAAAGGGGCCGAGTGCGGGTCCCGGTGCCGGCTTGAAGGCTTTGGTTCGGGGCTCGTGAAGGTCTAGGGCCTGGGGTTGAGAGGATTTTTTTGTGATGATGCATTTACTGAATGTAATTGAGTTTCTTTTAGTTCAAGGCGTGCTTGCTGGTGTCTTCGCTTGACATCATCTTAGACTCTTCTTCACCTTCCCGCAACTTCTTATCAATGCATTCTGAACTTCGTGGTGATGAAGGCTTCTCAGACAGAAACAGCGAGTTCCCATGTTCAATTGAGGATCCAACGCTCGACCGACCTTGATCCACGACCCCCAACAACAACACCGAAGTAGAAAGGTCCGATATTCCTTTTGGATTCCAGATTCCGGGCCCGCAGGGAGCGAAACGGCACAAAGAAGGCCGCGCAGCTTTGGCTGCTCGGCGGCGAGTTCTGGGATGTTCGGGCTGCGGATACAGGATAATGTAGGGCTATAGGCTTTGCGGTTTGGGTTTAGTTCGGCCCTCATATTATTGGTTGATCGATGATAGTGTTTCGATGCCGGCCGTCGCAGACCTATCACTCTTGCAACTGAAGGCTTCGCGACTTCTGCACTGCACTTCGAGCCGTCTGGGCTTGATGGTTGTCCCGGGCGTAGGGTCGGTGTCGCTATAATGAGTGGCGAAGTCCGTCACCAAACGAATCGGTAATGAGGTCTCTGAACGTGCCTCTCTCGATGAATATGTGAGTTTCGAACCTTGGACTTGGCAGCCTTGCCGGCTTGCATCGGCACGCCCTTATCCGTCGAATGAGTTTGTGTTTCGAAGGCCGCATGCAAGTCTTTGCTTCTGCTTCCTGCTTCCCCACGTGTTCTCTGGATTTGATTGAGCAATGTTCCTTTCTATGTGTGAATGTCGGGTGTGGGTCGTGTTGTTTTTGTATGCTGCATGACCACCGTTTCATTTGCTTGGCGAGAAGTTGCTCAGAGGTGGCCCACTTGAAGAGGTGTGCCGCTCCACGAAAGCACCTAGATAGATAGATGGATACCTAGATACATTGACAGATGGGTAGATAGACTCTTAGGTTGCTAGATAGATAGGTAGAGAGAGAGCTAGATAGGTCGATAAGTTGGAGACACACAGACAGACAGAAAGATGGACAGAGAAAGCTCGTATGCATGGTAGCGGAATACGGTACAATGATGCCTCATACCACGCACTACGCACTGATACTATCAAACAGCTCAAAGCGAAAGTTATCGAGCCTTCCAGCGTCGGTCTGCCGAGGGGTTGCCGCTGTGCACGATTTCGCGTCTGCTGTTTTGGTGCTTATCTGCTCATGCGACCACCCTTAAGGATCTTGTTATGAAGGGTTCTTCTTACTAACTTTCGGAGATGTTTGGGCCCTCGGGTAGTTGAGGTGGCTGGAAATTGGACTGCCAAGCGGCGGCGATCCAGGCCCCGAGGGTTGGCGCTGCTGCTGCTGCTGCTGCTGCTGCTATGATGACGATGTGACGCTAAAGATGTTTCAGAGCCACGAGAATCTCTCAAGACGAGCCCAAAGTCACAGCGAAAGTTGAGGATTCGTTACTTTATCCGAAGCCGTGCTCCAGCCAGGCCCGACACGGCTGCGGCAACAAAAAGAGACGAGCGCTGTATCTATGCAAAAGCAAACGTAAAGTGAGCAAAAGCCGCTCGCACGATGCCATTGAACCCCATCCTCGTGAGAGTCAGCAGGACCTGGTCACAGTTTCCGCACAAGTGGACATGAGCCTTGCCTCGCCTGAACGCTATACATTTTACATTCGCAAACCGAGGACAGGGGGATCATGTGTGCTCGAGCAACTTGCCCCAGAAGCTATCCCGCATCCGGAAACCGGGGTGGCACCAGCAGCAACACCATGCACATCATAACAAGCCGTTTGTTTTAGTTCTGCTGACGCCACCATCATTTGCATCATCTTTCTCCTCATCATCATCATCATCATCATCATCGCCACTGCT